TGCTTGTTGTTCGGCGCTTCTTTGTTGTTATGTTTTTCTGTTGTCGTTTGCTCATCTCTTCAGCAGAAACCTGCTCATCCGAGACAGCTTAAACCCTAGGTTCCGGGTTTTTTTACCCTAGGGGCCTACTAGTGCTCACCTGCAAGCCCTAAACCCTAAACCCCTAAACCCCTAAACCCTAAACCCCTAAACCCTAAACTCTAACCCCTAAGCCCCTAAACCCTAACCCCTAAGCCCCTAAACCCTAAGCCCTAAGCCCCAAAGCCCTAAGCCCTAAACCCTAAAGCCTAAATCCTAAACCAAGCTCTCCGGACTCTGAACTCCGAAGCTTCGGCCCTTCAAAAGCACCATGTAGGGAACCGAGAGCCACAAAACCGAGCCTAGGCTTTTCAGGAATTTAGGGCTTTAGGGGTTTGGGGTGTTGGTGATTCTTGGGGGGTTTAGGGATTAAGGTTTAGTGGGGTTAGTTAGGGTTTAGGGTTTAGGGTGCAGGCCAGCGTCCGCCGTCTCCCACCAGATGTCCTTCAGCACATGCCCGAAGCTCAACTAAACCTTTGCTACTATGATATGGATGTCTGTTGTTCTATTGCTATACTCTAACCAGAGACTCCAATATCACTTAATTAAGGAATATCCCTTAAATCATAGTAGGATCCCTAGAATGACTTAAGGTATATTCCTAAATCAAGGTTTATTGGAATCTCTAACTAGCCGTATCTATTGCTGCCTATCCCGAGTTGCGTATGAACATGGAAAAGCAGTGTAGCACACTTGCTCAGCCGAGCTTGAAGCTCCATAGGGCCGGTTTAGGGTTAGGGTTTAGGAGTTTGGGGTTTAGGGGTTTAGGGTTTGGGGGTTTAGGGTTTAAAGGTTTAGGGTTTGGGGGTTTAGGGTTTAGGGGTTTTGGGTTTAGGGTTGCGAGTTCCATCTGCGGACCGACAGGGCCTTGTAGAAAAGCAACCCTTTGCAGTCATTCCGACACTTACTGGGATACCCAGTAACCTAAGAATAAAAAGGCCTCTCTTTTTGGTATTGGGTAACTTTATAAGGAACCTAGGACTACAAAAAGGGAATAAGGGTACTACTGGGCATCCTAGCTTACATTGAAGCCTTAACTGAAGTAACTGCTGCCACCCTAGCTGGAAGCAGTAAGAATGCAGTCAGTTCCTTGAAACCCATGCACCCTTGACCCTGAACCCTGAACCCAAACCCCCATAACCCCCAAAATCCTAAACACTAAACCCTTAAACCCTAAACCCTAAACCCCTAAACCCTAAACCCCTAAACCCCTAAACCCTAAAACCCTAAAACCCTAAGCCTAACCCCCAAGCCCTGAACACTAATCAGGAAGCCGCGGAGTGATAAACTCGCCAGCAGCCTCGTCGTTACACATGGTGTCGATGGTGCCTCGGAGCTGTCTTCTTGGAACGCTTTTTCCTTGTCCTGTTCGGCTACATGGAGCCTCAGGGTTTACGGAAGTTTAGGGCGACCTCCCTTGCTTGGAGGACATGGGTAGTTATAAATAGGGTTATAAGTAAGGTAACCCCGACTTATAACCACCCTAAACCCTAATCCTTATAAGCCCAATAGAACCCTTAAAGGAACCCTTACAACCCCACTTACAACTGCCCATGAACCTCCAAGTACTGTCATTCAAGTGCAATGTCAGGGTTCATAAAGGCTACAGGTGGGACTCCACAAAAACTAAACCCCTAAACCCTCAACCCTCAATCACTTGAACCCAGGTTTCATATTGAATGTTCTTTGCACTTTCAACTCCCCAAAAAAATGTGCTCACATCAAAGAATACAACTGATATGAGATGGTGGCACCGCGCCGCCCGCTGCAAAATGGCTCCTTGCTTCCTGTGATTTACCGGATGCGGTGCAAATTGGACCCCGCATCCTGTTATTAGGTCTCTCGGAGTGGTTCGGTGCGTACTCTTCGCTTGCATCCCAATACGTACACAGGAGTCTCCGTGGCACTGCGCGTCGCTAGAGGCCTCGGTTCCTTGTAACTTACGGAGCATGGACCCTTTTCGGCCAAGGCATGGACCCTTTTCGGCCAAGGAAAAAAGCGACTCGAAGCAGCAAATGGGTGATTGTCAAAATTCGGATCCGTTTTGGGTCCTTATTATAATGCGGCACCGGCACCTAATATTTAGGGTACCCAAAAAAGGGACCCTAATTTTGACAACCCCCCGTATGGGGAAAAGGATTTCAGTGTCCTTTATCATCTCGGCTCGCACCAGCAAAGGGGGGAACGCATCAGCACCGCGGTTTCGAATCTTGGGGGAAAAGCATTTAGGAGTGTCCTGGTGGTAGCAGAAGTAAGAGTGTTCCGGCTCCAGAGTTAAAAACTGGACCCCGTGATCGGACTTCAAACGCCCGTTTCGTACCACTAAACCCTAAACCCAAAGCCCTGAGCTGGGCCAGCGGCTGACATGAAGTGAACTGGAATTGGCACACAAACGCCGTGATGCTCTGAGGCTTTGAGAGAAAATCGGCGGGGCATCTTTAGGGTTGAAATTTTAGGGTTTAGGGGTTTGGGGCTTTAGGGGTTTAGGGTTTAGGGATCTGACTGTTGAGGCGACAACCTTTGAACAGCATGACGGGTTCCTCGCGTGCGATCTAAACACAGCCCTTTGGTTGTTCCTACCTTTAGTTAGTAGGGAATGGAGGAATGGGGTTTAGGATTTAGGATTTAGGGTAGTGGGGTTTAGGGTTTAGGGTAGTAGGGAATGGAGGACTGGGGTACAACTACAACTACTATTACGACCATTCTTCCATTCCCTACTAACCAAAGGTAAGTGTTAGGGTTTGTTTCGATGTTTCGGGTTTGAGTCAGCCTGGAGACTCGGATAAGGGTCTGAGAACGACGATCGAGATTGGCCATGAACTGTTGAGTCGGACCTACGTTAAGTGAGAGTTTCCGAAAATTAGGGGTACCTTATCTTGGGGCCCCTATAATAAGGATCCTACTATTTAGGGTACTATAATATTAGGGTCCCCTATTTTCGGAAACTCCCAAATGACAAGGGGCAAAAGTTTGGGCTTTGGGGCCATGGGCCGTCGGGTTGGTGTAGGGTTTGGCACAAAACAACACTTGTAGTCGTTTCAATCGTCCTTGGAATGGCCTCCTTTTTTTCTGTAGAAAAGGCATCAGGCTTTGGGTTTCGAGTGCTTTGGGGGTTGCTTTTGAGCCCTCAGTCAGACCTCAGGGGCCTAGGTGGCGGTTTACAACTCCCAGGCAGCCCTAAACCTCCAACCCCCTCCATCACAATCAACCCCCGGCCTGAAACCTGAAGAAAGCTTCTCTCTGCTCTTCATGTTTAAAGGAAAAGCCAGAAAGTTGGAGTATGGTTATCCTAAGCCCTTTATGGTAAATTATAAGGTATCCTACCCTGAAACCATATTCCAACTTTCTGGAGTTCCCTTTAGGGGTTTAGTGTTTAGGGTTTGGGTTTTGACTTTTGGGGGTTAGGGCTCCTCAAACCTCCAACTCAACCCTAAACCCGTAAACCCAAAACCAAAACCCCTAACACCCCAGGACCCAAACCCTAAACCCAAAACCCAAAACCCAAAAACCAAAACCAAAAACCCTAACACCCCAGGACCCAAACCCGAAGCCAGTTTCTCCCTGGTCTTCTCGCCTAAAGCGCTTCAGGGTGAAACCACCGAGGCTCACGTCGTGGTTCAGGGCTCAGAGTTTCTTCGAGGGTTTAGGGCTTAGTGGCTTAGAGTTTAGTGTTTAGGGGTCGCAGGGGTCGCGGTTCGGCGCCTGTTCCAGAAAGGTCTACCTTAACCCCAAGTAACCTACTTTTTTAAGGACTTAAAAAAAGAAATCAAAATAACCCTAAAAAGGTAGGTTCCTTGGGGTCCAGATGATGGAGATCGAAGATGGATCCCCAGCGATTGGAGGTGGGAGTCAGGATTCAGAGTGCAGGTACTCAGGGCTTGGGTGGCCTGGGGCCCCAGGGAGAAGGTTCAGGATTTCAGGGCTTCGGGTTCCTCAATGTCCATCTTAACTCGCGCCTGATTGGAGGTTCAGGGGTACTTATAAGTGGAGTTATAAGTCCCCCAATATGGGTTCTAAGTATAGTTGCCCTACTTATATACTTATAACTACCCATGAACCTCAAAGTAGGGATTCGTAGAACCTTATGTGGGCTTCGAAAGCTCTGGCCCCGAGTCCGAGGTTCCCTGTTCGGGGGGGGCGGAGAGCCCTAAGTTTCTAGGGCCCCTCCCCTGTTTGAGCAGGGTCCCGAAGACATTAACCAAAGGCAAAGCCAGGAGCCGGGTCACACGACTCAGGGTTTAGGGTTTATAGGGTTTAGGGCTTTTAGGGTTTATAGGGTTTATAAGGTTTGTAGGGTTTAGGACTTTTAGGGTTTAGGGTTTGTAGGGCTTAGGGCTTAGCTTCGAAGGGATTTTGGGGGTTGAGGGCCGCGGGTCCAAAGTGCCGGTTCGTCTGTGTCCGATCCCCAAACCCTAAACTCTTCACCCTACATCCTTAACCCGTAACCCTAAACCCTAAACTCTTAACCCTAAATCCTTAAGCCTAAACCCCAAACTCTTAACCCTAAACCCCAACCGTCTGTCTCGCAGATTTAGGTAGCTTAGGGCCCCCGCAGGGCACAGGGCTAAGCCGCCCTGAGCCCCGGCTCGAGTAAATGCTTTGCCCACTGCGTCTTACGACGCGCAGAGACGAAGAAGCGTTTAAGTTTAGGGTTTAGGGTTTAGGGTTTAGGGTTTAGGGTTTAGGGTTTAGGGTTTAGGGTTTAGGTTTACAGTGCAAAAATACAAAGCTCTGTGTTTGTACCCTCAGGTTTAGGGCAGCATAGGGCGGAGTCATTGGTTTGCAGTAGTTCACTCCGGTGTCCTTCAAGGATCATGGGACTCAGTAACTAGGGTTATGATTAGGGTAACTATACTTATAGCTACTTATAACCCCAATTGAGTTAGAAGTACTTGCTGGGTCCCATGATCCTCCAAGTAGCCTTAAAGCCTCACAATCTCCCCGTGGCCCTCGCGCTCTTCGGCCCGTGGCACCAGGTACCAGAACCAGGGCGGGACCACGGCAAAGAGGACGACCGTGGCGAGGATGATTTTGGACATCACATAATGCCTCGGACATGGAACTCTAACTCATCGTCCCCCAAACCCTGGCCAAAAAGACTCGCTACCTAAAAAGCTACACCCGCAGGCCTCACCTAAACCCTTCAAGTCGGAAGCACCCATTACACCCCCATAAACCCAATAGAATCCCCAAAACCCCGTCGAAGACCGTCCTTAGAAGTTCGTTTCCCTTTCTACAACGCCGAAACACTTAGGCTAAGTGGTTCTGGGCTTAGGGCTAGGGTTTAGGGTTTAGGGGGGAATAAGTAGTGACGCTATTCTTCAGGCTCCCTCATAATCTATAGCAGAGAGCCGAGACATCCCCAAACCCTAAGTCTAGCCATCAAGCCCCGCCTGCTCTACACACATGGGTAGTTGTCAACATTATGGCCATGTTTTGGGTACCCTAAATATTCCCTTCCGTATTATAATAAGGACCCAAAAAGGGACCATAATTTTGACAACCACCCACGTAGTAAACCCCCCCAAAACCAAAATAGAAACCCCGTAATTCAAAGCCCTGGCGACTCCTCGTAACGTAGGAGCCTGATTGAGGAACCTTAAAGCCTCTGTAAGGGTTCGACAAGGGTTCCTTTAAAGCGGGTACAAAAAGGGTGCCATACGGGTTCTGGGGGGTTTGATGTAGGAACCTGATTAAGAAACCTTGGGCCTTTCTTAGGGTTCCTTTATAGATCCTACTATGTTGGGGGTTATAGGGGGGGTTGTAGGGCCCAGGGTCGGTTAGTTAATCAGGTTCCTACAGACTTTCAGAATCAACATCGCTCCGGTGCCCGTTCCAGCCCTGCGTGGACAGCACGATCACCGACTCGAAAGCCTTGTCCCAGGCCTGGGAGGCAAGGAGCATAATATATCATGGTATATCAAAGTATACCTAGTACATTGTGTCATATTCATATAGTATAGTGTATTTTAGGGGTTTGGGACTCAGGCGACTAAAGGATTTAGGGGTTTAGGTGTTGCGTTTGAGGCTCGAAGGTCAAGCCCATGCAACATCCCCAGCAACCCTGAACCCTAAACCACTAAGTCCCTAAACCCCTACATCCCTAAACCCTGAACCCTGAACCCTAACCCCCAAATCCCTAAACCTCTACACCCTAAACCCTAAACCCCAAGGGATCAGCTGATATGGCCGCGGGGCCAGGCCAATGGCGATGCCGAAGGCATCAGCAACCTCGGCACCCCCTGTGATACTCCATACTATTATACGGTTTAAGGCTTAGGGGTTATAATTTCATAATGCACTATTCTATAGTGCAATAGGATAGACAATAGCATAATACAATATACTAGACTATGATATGCTATGATATACCATTCTATACCACCCCACATTCATGTGCTCGGAAGCAGTTTGTTACAGTGTTGCTCAGCATCTTAAACTGCAGAGCCTGCGGCAGATGATCGCAGCGCAGTGCGTGGACTTTCAGGCTTTGGGCTCAGAGTTCAGCTTCTTCGGGATCGGGGCTTTACCCTAAACCCTAAACCCAATACCCTAAACCGAAAACCCTAAACCCTAAAACCTAAACCCTAAACGTTTAGGGATGTAGAGCTTTTGGGGCCCATAGCTTCCAGGAGCGAGCTCAGCATCTAGGGCATCCTTCATAGGTGGCTCAGGGTCCAAGAGGCGCAAGGCATCATGCTGAAGGGAATGAGGATATATATCATATACATATATATATATATACATATACATATACATATACATATATATGTATATATATCATATGTATATATATAGATATGTATATATATATATGTATATGTATGTATGTGTGTATATATATATATATATTCATATATATCATATATGTATATATGTATGTATATATATATATATGTGGGTGTCGAAAACTATCCCTGTGCCTACGGTACACAGGGCTGAACGTCTTGAGTTTGCAGATTGGTTTGTCGAGAGCGATGGAATTTAGTGTTTGCTGCAAGCTTGCTCGTGTTATGTACTGCAGATTGAGGCCTGTCAGCAGACACCGGGTATGAACACTGTAACGGACCAAACCCAGCGCAACAGCCGAAACTAACCAGCAGCCCCCCTCAACTCCTCAAGCACCAGAGTTCACTAGAGCCCTCAGGCCAGCAAAACACACACAAAACTGCAAATAAACCCGGAACCCGGGTGACAAATCCGGTGCCAAGAAGCGCTAGCAGCCTCGTGTCGGCAGCATCGGAGGTCCCTCGCTTGCTATTTTTTAGTTGGAGGCTCTCTGCAGGCTACTGAGAGGGGAGAGGATTTTGGGGGGTGAGGGTTTAGGGTTTGTTAAGATCTTGGAAGCTTTGTGATGCTTTTTGGGATGGAGAAAAGGAAGGAATAAACGGCCCAACTAGCTCATCGATGAACATGTTATGCTTCAGCATACATACCGGGATCGGATCACAGTCAAACTGTATGGATTTACAGGAGGTATGTGTCAATGTAAATGGACAAGGTTATCACCATAGGGAGTGCCGCACGATTCGCCATTCAGCATTCAAACTCATTGTGCCCACCAGAAATGTTTGAACAAGTTTGCGGACGCAATACCGCGGCTGGAATGTGCGATGCAACGGTTGATTATGCGAGCTTGATGCTTCTTCATGATGGAAGCCTTTTCAAGGGTTTAGGGCTTAGGGCCCATGCCTGATTCAGGGTTTAGGGCATGGAGCTTGGGTGGGAGGTATGGTTCAGGGCTTAGGGGTAAGCTTTGACACGAATTTGAGTCGAGACTCACACCCACAGTTTTTGGGTTCAAGAATTAAGCGGCGTGGCTTTGGACACGAGGCCCTGGATACTAAAGAGTCCTGGCAACACTTTACTTCAACCCGACACTTCCAATAAGCCTCATGGAACAGTTAGTCTGGAAACTCTTTCTAGAACCTTATGATGATCCTCATGCAAAAGCCCGATTATTCTGGAAACTTTTTCTAGCTGAGTCCTCATACAAGAAACTATACCCACCCGTATAGCACCATCTTCTTCCGATAGCTCTGAAAGACCCCTTCCTTGTAGAACCCATGAGTCTTCATGAAGGCACCTGCTTAAAGGATCATGGGACTTAGTAACTAGGGTTATTATTGTGGTAACTATACTTATAATTACTTATAACCCCGATTAAGGGACTTATAACTATAGTTACTAAGTCCCATGATCCTCCAAGTGGGGGCTTCGGGCACAGCTTCAAGCCTCGAACTCGGAAGCCGAAACACGAAAATCCCAAAAAAAAGGGTTTAGGGTTTCGGGTTCAGGAACCCTTAAACCTAAACCCCGAAACAGCCTCTATGTACTGTTATCCGGAAACACTTGACACAAAAACTCAAGACTGTCTTAGCATTAGTATCAGGATTAGTATTTGGGAGTTTCCGAAAACTAGGGTACCTCATTTGGGGTCCTTATAATAAGGAATCTACTATTTCGGGTACTATATTAGGGTCCGCTATTTTCGGAAACTCCCGTATGCGTATTGGTTTTCGAAGAAGAATCACTGGTGCCCACCTGGTACAGGAGTGGAGGACCCCCGTCACGATGAAGCCCAGCCACGTCAGCCTTGAGACCAAAGGCGCAAGAACATGGTCTTTAAGATTCATATAACAGTAACAATAAGCAGAAGAATTCTAACCAGAATGATGATACTAATAACTATAGCAAAAATAAACACAACAAGAACAATATCAAGATGTCAACGTCGGGTCGGGGGACTCTAGGATTTGGGGCCGTGTTAAACCCCCAACTTCATTTCATGACCCCGAAGAGTTCAAAGTTGCCCGACGGGGTTCGTTTAAAGGGATCTACTGATACGAAGTAGATGTACAGATATGAGGGTTATAGGATTCTAGAAGGAAGGATTCTAGAAGGAGTTGGATTTTGAACGACATTCTTCTTACTGATCTTACTCTGAGCCGTCAAAAGCTTCTTAATCCCAACTATGAAATCCTAGAAGCTACGTGCAATGACGGGACTCCACAAAACTGCAAGGTCCGAATCTCGAAGATCCCATAATCTACCTCAAAATCGCACCAAGGCATGCAGGGAAAGCCCTAAAGCCTGAACCCCCTCTTAAGCCCCACGCGCCAGACCCTTTAGGGTTTAGGGTTTAGGGTTTAGGTTTCAGGAAGAAGGAACCTTGTACCCCGCTGAGGCGGTCGCGGGAAGGCCACAAAGATGTAGGTGTCCATCCAGGTGCTCGAGCGTCTCGCAAAGACCGCGAAGGCATGGACCAAGCACCTGGATAGAAGATAAGAAAAGATGACAGAATATATATATATATGGTCAGGCGTCTGGCGTTCCCAGCCCCCCCCCCCCCCCCCCCCAATGGTATGGTCTGATAGGGGTGGGGGGGGGGGGGGGCTGGCGTGCGCGGAAAGGGGTTGGGCCATTGGAGCTGCCACTGGATGGTGGGGTGGTGCTGGCGGCCAAGGCTCACGCGCAAGCCCTTCGCAAGCCAGCCGTAAACCCGATAACGCAGCGCGTGCCCCTGTTTTGAGCAAGCTTAACTTGTACTTAAAACGCTACACCCAACCTAAACCCCACCTAACTGCAGGCTCTAAGCTTAAAGCAGAGCATACACCGCAAATCCTCCTTAAGCCCTTGTCGACTCGAAGCCTTATACCTTGTAGCCGTAAACCCAAAACTCAAAAGCTTAAGCTAAACTCTAAACCCCAAAACCCCACAACCACCCCACAGGGGGAAGAGGAACCCCACACCCCACACCACAGGGGAGGGGGGGCCCCACCCTATATCCGGACCATTGACCTTTGGGGGGGGAGGGGGGGGGGGCTGCGGAGCGCGTGACCATATATATATATATATATATATGTTGAGGCATTAATATAGAATCTCATACAAACGATTACAAAAGAATAGGACAGCCCAGGCATAACAAAAGGATACGGTGTTTTCACTGGCAACTCTAGTTCTGTGCCAGGCCTGGGCTTCCCCACATAAAAACATACTTAGGGGACCATGGGACTTAGTAAGTAGGGTTATAAGTAAGGTAACTATAGTTATATCTACTTATAACCCCAATCAAGGTACTTATAACCCTACTTACTAAGTCCCATGATCCTCCAAGTACCCTTCTGAGCCTTAAACCCTGGAACACCGCCTTGATGCGCATTGTTCCGATAGCCACAACTGGAAGGAGTTTGCATGCTTTTATCCGACGAGAGCAAGGCTTTTTCCGAGAATCACCCATACTTCCGGGTCTTAACCGACTACTTGGAAGTTCATGGGTAGAAAATGAAGATATAAATCCCCTAATATGGCTTATACTTATGGTCCCCTACTCATACCCCGCTTTTATATCAACCCACGAACCTTCAAGTACCATAAGTTCTTGTCCCTTAACCCTGGCCCTAAGCCCTAAACCCTCATGATCACCCTACTTAGGTACAGATTGTAGGATTTGGGAGTTTCCGAAAATAGGGGACCCTCAAAAAGTACCCTAGATAGTAGGATCCCTATTATAAGGACCCCCAAAATAAGGTACCCCCAATTTCGGAAACTCTTTCATTTGGGGCTCACTTTGTTTGCAGAGGAACCAGCCCATGGCTGCGGAGGACGTGCCGCGGATGAACTCGAAGTTCGTTGGCATGAAGGTTCCTAGGTGCTTAGGGCTCCTTTAAAGGGATCTATAGGGTTCCTTCAAAGGGATCTATAGGGGTCTATATGGGTTACAATAAGGGATCTATACTTACCTTTGGTTTAGTAGGGAATGGAGGAATGGGGTACAATTCCAACTACTATTACTACCATTCTCCCATTCCCTACTGACCAAAGGCAAGGGTGTCGAGCTCCAGAGCACCCAATAAAAGTTACCCAGTCAGGGCCTCCCGACGTTAAACCCAAGAAGAGGGAACATCTAAAAGGCGTATCCCAAAATCGGAGCCCGGAGTTCTCTTCATGTACAGGGAACCCTAGACCCCAAAAAATCCGCGCCCCTAACCTTGAGCCCTAAACCCCAAACCCTAAACCCTTAACCCCGAACCCCAAACTCTAAACCCTAACCCCTAAACCCCAAATTATCCCTGCCCGGAGCTCTCGTCATGTAGCGCTCGGCGCAGGAGACGACGGCCACCACGAGAAGGAATCCGAGGCTCCAGAGACCCATCCACAGGACCAGCCAGGCGTCATCGGGCTTCACCTGGGCTTCAACAAAAGGGATCCTTTCAGGGATCCTTTAAGGGTTCCTTTAAGGGATCTACAAGGGCTTTAAAAGGGTTTAGGGTTTAGCGTTTAAGGTTGAGGGTTCCTTTAAGGGATCTACGAGGGCTCCAAGCGGGTTTAGGGTTAAGGCTTCTTGACAAGGAACTTAGTTTGAGTTACCACAATAGGGATTTCAGATAAATAATGAGGCTTAGGGTTGAGGGTTTAGCGTTTAGTGTGCTTTACCTGGCTTCAACAAGAGGGATCCTTTAAGGGTTCCTTTAAGGGATCCTGCAAGGGTTCCTTTAAGGGTTTGGGGTGCAGGCTTCGTTAAGGAACTTAACTTAAGTTACCATAATAGGGGTTTATAGAAAAAATAGGATTCCCTTATTATGGTGGATCTATAGTAAATGATATGGTTCCTTCCAGGCGTCTTCGGGCTTTATCTCGGCTAGAGGGAAAAAGGCACCCACGGTTCAGGGTTTAGGGTTTAGAGAAACCCTCAACCTCCAGGTTTCTAAGATACACCACATAGATATAGGTGGTTTGTCAAAATTAGGGTCCCTTTTTGGGTCCTTATTATTTTACGGCACCTAATATTTAGGGTACCCAAAAAGGGACCCTAATTTTGACAACTACCCATATGTAGGGCCAAAAAGGCTGAAAGTTCTCCCGTCGGCTATCCCAGTCACCACAAGTCCCTCGATGGGGTTCAGGCTGCCCGTGTGGAAGTAGAGGACAAGCTGTAGTATCAGGAAACCCATGACGAGGGTGGCACCATCCTCGGTTGTAGTTTTGCGGCACTCTAAAAGTATTTCTATGTACCTCTACTTTATAGGAACCATAAAAGGCAAGCCACAAAGTTTCCCGAAATGCCACCTAGCGTCAAGCGAAGCTTCATGCGCTGCGTGATCCCAGTGGCAGAACCTCCGGACCCTCTGGGGGCCCTCCTTTCGAGCCACTGGATCCCCATTCAGAAGATCTCGACCCCCATCAGCTTCCGGCCTGTTTGAACCTGGGCTCTTGAAAAACGGCCCCCACTCAGTAATAGTTGAATAATATTCATGATATAGACATATTAGGACCTTAATAGGAGCCCTATTCTAGACTCTTACTGTATGGTGGCAGTACCTAAAGGGGTTCGTTTACGGATGGTCTACAATTACAATTACCCTGCTTTCCTTGCTGCGGCAACAAAGACTGAATTCTTCGCGAAGGTTACTCTAGCCAGCACGCAAGGTAAACTCCATGCGACATCCCAGGAAGAAAAACTTATAACGTGTTGCAAGAAACTCTTGAAGCGCCTTCTCAACCTTTCACCACACCCCCTACACAGAACAACAAAGACGCCTATAAAGCCCTATACGGACAACATATGAAGCCTTGCATAAAACTGTGCGAATACAAAGCCTCGGAACACAAGCTTCCTAGACTTGTCCACGAGGTCAGCTCGTTCTCCTGTACTCCAGAAACGAAACTTACTTTTGCGTTACCATCCACAAACGTTTCTAAGGGTTCTGTTGGGGGTGTTTGAAGGGCTTCGACAAAGGTCCTTGTGAAGGAACGTCGCCTACGATGACACAACAAGCAATGCGTACTATCTAGACTGCGGCATGTATCAAGAACCCCAGCCTTCTCCTCCTGCTCATGATGAAAGAACCGCGTGATTTCCCAGTACTCCGAGATGCAGAACTCGGCCAGCTCGGGTTGTTCAAAGCGGATCGTTGAGGCGTCATGCCCTTCGGGCACCTTCGGCTTCTTAGGGCTCCCCCTGCACCTTCTCAATGCTAGGGCTTCTACTTGGAGGATCATGGGACTTTGCAAGTAGGGTTATAAGTACCTTAATTGGGGTTATAACTAGATATGCTATAACTATAGTGACCTTACTTATAACCCTATTTACTAAGTCCCATGCTCCTCCAGGTAGGGCTCTTATTGCTTTTGGAGGGTTTCGCTGGTGCGCGTTCGGGTTTGGGGTTTCAGACCTTGAGGATGAGAAGTAAGGCTGCCGAGCGCCTTTCCTTAATCCTACTAGTTTGGGGTTATAGGCGCGGGGTTTCTTAATCAGGTTCCTACATGAGGGTTCCTTAATCCTACTAGTTTGGGGTTTTTGGGCGCAGGGTTTCTTAATCAGGTTCCTACATTACCCAAGGCACCAGAGGACTATAGACGTGGGCATCCGCCGTCAGATGAGCTTTGTACTGCCGCTCGATCATTTCGCTCTCTGTTTCACCGAAGTAGAGATACTCGCCTTCATCCTCCTTCTGCCACCTGAATGTTGCAACTAGGTTTTAGGGTTTAGGGTTTTTCGGGATTGGGGTTTAGGGTGCGATACCTACAATACTGCACATGAACTAGGGCTTGTGTTCGGGTCTTTGTAAGTGCATTTGGGACTCCTGAAGAAGATTGGGAGGTGTAGAATTGTCAAAAGGTATCCCTACTTTACATGAGCTTGCTACAAGCATGGGGCGCCGGAACCTTCAGCTCCTAAATCCTCAGGTACTACAGCCTGATAGCAACCCGGATTTTGCTGAGAAGCCTCCATACAATCCTAAACCCTGAACCCACAAGGCTCATCCCACCTGACATCCACCTCCTGAATGCATCGGGAGCGTGCCAGCTTCGCAAGAAGGAGCGCCGCTCGAAGGACCATCTGAGGCTCTTAGGGACACGCTTTGAGGCCGGTGAGAATAAAGGTCTTCAGGGCATCTGGGTGAAAAAGTGGTTCTTCAAATTTCCTGCCACTTTTATAAGTTCCATAGTAGTAAGGATCCGTAGAAGCCAGCCTTCCCTGAGCACAGAAGGATGAGAAACTCGCATGCAGGGGCTTACGAAAAACCCGGGCCCAACGGAAGGTACGAAAAGCAGCAGTGAGACAGCCAAGCAGACAAAGAAAGGTACCTAAAGTAGAAGTTGCACAAGCTTGAGGGGACTCTAGGGTCTAGCATTCGCGGTTTGGGTTTGGCCTACGGATTTGGGGTGTAGCTTCACTTTCACGAGCTAGGAGCTGGAGATGATGAGAGAGCTTGAGGCTGAGGCTTAATAATACAGCTACTTGGAGGTTCATGGGTAGTTATTAGTGCGGTTATAAGTCCCCCAATATCGGGAAGAAGTACTTATATCTACCTTATGAACCTCCAAGTACAGGCTAAAGTATTGAATGTAGGCCTCTGGGTTTAGGTTTAAGTGCTCGTTATGATCAGTTATGTTTCCTGGGTCGAAATAGTCGGCGAGCAGGCGAGTGGGTGAGTGAATAACGCGTGTGAGCGTGGGTGAGTCGGCGGGTGCGTGATCGAGTACATGGATTTTTGGACTTGTGGAACAATGAGGTTCGCACGTGGGCGAAAGTCCTCCTTGCGTGGCAGCGGAAGTATGAACAAACCCATTCAGCTCAGCCGGGGAGGGAGCCGACCAAAGCCGAGAAGCCTCGAAGTGAGGAACTAAGTTGCAGCTTGGCTACTGCAGCCCAGGGCAGCACCAGATAGCACTTCAAGCTGGATGCTTTCATGCTCTGCTGTAGAGAGCCAAAAGCTCGAATCAGGAGGAAGGCCGTGATGTGCCCTGAGAGCTGAGCCACGGCAAAGGACCAGTGCTTCATGTCGGCGTGGAGGAGCTTCTTGGTCCAGCTTGTGGTTCCACAGCGCTCCTCTTCCGCTTCCAGGCACTGCTTGCACAAGGCACCCGGCGAGTCCCGGCACCAGTAGACGAGGCAGCTGGAGAAGACGTAGAAGGCCACGCTCAGGAAGCCGTAGATGCGCGCCTGAACCAGCGGCCCGGCGCTCCGGTTCAGCCCGGGGCTCTTGCCCATCCAGAGCTGTTCGATCAAGACGCCATGCAGTGCGATGCTGAAGGTGGAGGCGGCGAAGATGGACACCGTCGTACAGCTCAACTGCTTCTCTGCCGCCTTCACAGCATCGGATTGCGAGTTCACCATGCAGAGAAGCCCCATCATGGTCAGCACGAAGGAGATCATCACCAGGCAAAGCATCCACTCAGGTCCGTTGATGCCCTGCCCGTGTTCGATCTCACTCAAGTGCTCCTCCTGAATTCTACAAAGACAAGCACCGAGCCAACAGCAAAAAGCAACCACAAAATCTAATCAATCATCCTCGGTACCCTCCCTGAACGGTTTAGGGGTTTAGGGGTTTAGGGGTTTAGGATTTATAGTGAACGGTTTAGAGTTTAGGGTTTAGGGGTTTAGGATTTATAGGGTTGAGGGTACCCCCCCCCAGGCCCCAGGTGCGGACACCCCCCCCCCCCCGCCCAAAAAAAAAAAAAAAATACCGAAGCTCCGACCCCACCAGAACCCTAAACCCTAAAGACCTACCTTTTTAGGGTTCCTTATGATGGTTTCTATATACAGCTCCTTAAAAAGGTAGGTTTTTTCGGCTGCGGGTAAACCCTCCGAGTCTCCTCCTTCAGGAGCTCCTCCTGCTTCTTGGAGGCCTGCAGGCAGTGATCCTTAAAGCCCCAAACCCCAAAGCCACCCCCCATGCAAGCCCCAACAAAGAGGCCTGGGCCTAGATAAGTACGACTTTGGGGTTCCTTTAAAGGGGTTTTCAGGATTACTATAAGGAGCATTATGGGGGTTTGGCATAGGGGCCTTAATTATTACCTATACTCTTTTGCGGGTTCCAAGTATAGTATAATGGGCCCCCAAACCCCCAAAGCGCTCCCGAAGCCCCTCCACCTGCAAAGACCTATAAACCTGCGACACCTTACCTCAGAACCCGAAAACCCTGAAAGCTCCGATTGAACCCTGAAACCCCCTGAACCTCGCACTCTGACACCCCTTCACCCGAAGTGCAGGGGCCTCGAGGCAGTGATGCAGGAAGTCTGGGCAGCAGTTCCCGTAGTTCATGCACTGAGACGTGCACTGGCACGCGTTTGCCGGACAGAAGCCTCGGAAGGTCTTTGAAGGCTTGTAAGCAAGGTTATAAGTAGGGTAACTATACTTACAAACTACATTAAAGGACTTACAACCCCACTTATAACTACCCCTGAACCGCCAAGTAGGTGAAAGAATGGCATTACCAAAGATGGATTGCAAAAGTGGGTGGTTGTCAAAATTAGGGTCCCTTCTTGGCCCATTAGTATAATACGGCACCTAATATTTAGGGTACCCAAAAAGGGACCCTCATTTTGACAACCACCCAGGTGATCATAAATGGCCATCATCAGGAGTCTATAACGGGTTCTATAAGTTTGCGAGCACCCGTTTCAGAATAAGGTTTGAGGCTCGTCCTGTAAGAACTCACAAAGTTGATACGAGCTGCTTGAATGAGGCTTGTGCAGGCATGTCAAGTCAAGGTGTTCACAATATGATACCTGCTCCAAATTACCTGTCCCACTCCAAACAGCCATAAGTTACTCTCTTTGGTCAGGACCTCGCCGTAATGAGGTGCAAAAACTCCCTTTAGCAAGCCCTGAACATCTCTACACAGGGCTTTCCCCTAAACTCAACTTGGCTGACTTCTGAACCCGCCCTAAACGTTAAACTTACAGCCTACTTACTCTGGTTCATATAGAAACCCAAAAAGTTAAAGTCCTAAGAGGCAACCAGAAGAACGCCAAGTCAAATCCCCGAACCCAAACATCCCCGGCCGCCCTAACCAACCATTCCCAACAGCTCAAAACCTCCAGCAAAAATCCTCAGCCCTGGATGAACCTTGAAGGGTTCAGGGTTTAGGGTTTACTTGGAGGTTCATGGGAAGGTTTAAGTGGGGGTTGTAACTTATAACTTATAAGTCCACTACCCATGAACCTCCACGTAGGGTATCTCCGCCCTTGTAGTCCCCATAGATTCCACGCTATGACCTCTGTGTCTGATTCGTAAACCCTGAGCCAAAAACCCGCTTTAGCAACCCATATGAAAATTGATGTCGGCATCCGAGTCCGAGTAGCGATGACAGCCTCCGAAAGTCGCACAGCTGGCGTTCGCGCTTGGAAGGCCGAATAGCCTCCAAAGTTGCCACGTCTTCTTCCATGGTTTTCGGTGCCCAAAGACTCCGACATCACTGAATTAAGGCTTACTGCAGTTTAAAGGCGCTTCGAACTGAGGCCCGGGATGGGAGCTTATTTCGGTTTAAAAACTTGCGGGCTTTGGGGAGAGTTTCTGGAGCTTTCTACTGGCTTTTGGGTTGGAGGCCTTGGTGTCGTAGAGTCGTAGGGTCTCTTGTGTTCAGGACTAGGAGCTTGAGGGTCTAAGCTTGGGCGCTTAATGCCTTAGAGTTTAGGGTTTATGGTTTAGGGTTTAGGATTTGAGTTTCCCTAAACCCCCGAACCCTAGTCCGTGAACCCCAACCGTGATAAGTTCAGGAGCCTTTCGCAGCTCCCCTTCTCATCGGTGCGGATGCCGACTTCACTTGGTACCGCAAAGAAGGCCTTGCAAAACAGAGCTTGGAAAAACAGCAGTTATTCCCCCTGAGATCAGAAAACAACTTACACATTTATGTGTGTGTCTACATCTACGAAACCATGTAATACATGCCATGCAAGGATGTCTAGATCAACCAGGATGCCACCGACGGAAGCACCAAAAAAGCGCCAAAGCCCAGAACAGTGCAGGTCGTGAGCGCTGAGTGCGCAGGCCGTTCTTTCATCGGGTCGCCAGCGCTGAGAGATAGCTGAAGGGTTTAAAGTTTAGGTTTTAAGGTTTAGGTTTCACACCGTGTCGATTGCTCGAAAATTGAGGTGAGGTTGAACACTTTTTGGCCGCGTTGGGGTTAAGGCTGTTTGGGGTGATGTTGGGTTTAGGGTTGTTTCGGGACAGCTAAACGCGCTTGGTGTTGCGGGATTTTCCTAAATCGTACTCCTTCAAGGCTGGGGGGTTAACAAACACTCCAATAGCTCGGAGAGCAAACGTGCAACAACGGCAGCGAGCAAAAATGAGGCATCCCGCCAGTCTACCCAACTGCAATACCATCGTAAGCCGTTGAACATGTTTGAAGCTGGCAGTAGAAACACGACAATACACCCGGAATGATTCTTTTCAACGTTTCTTTTCAGGGTACTACAAGTCTGCACAGGCTTTCTGAGGCTTCTATAAGGGCTCAGGGTTTATATGGACCTTGTTGTAGACCCCTAGTTCCTAATCTCCCTGTATGTGCGGGCTTTGTTGCTAGGGTCCCGACTACAATCTGCACAGTGTACAGCATCTATGGGGTGCTTATACGGATCTTCTGGCGGCTTGATGGGGCTTCATTACTATTTTGCCAGTATCCCGGCACTGATGAAAATACCAGTTCCTTGTCATTCTGATTCTTTCAAAGAAATTTCAATTAGGGAAACACTCGGATAAGATAACAAGGTTAGCATTGTACTACTGCGGGGACTTAGCTGGGATGCCCCACTGTTGCTCAGTTTCTATCGTTGATGAAGGGGATCCTGATTGAGTCTAAAAACCCTGAACCCTAAACCCTGGTGGATTCTAAATTGGGGAACCCAGCGGCATTTTTTCCGTGGTTTCAGCTGACTTCATTGAGCCAGGGCTCCTCCAAGAGAGAGCCTGGGATCCGGGATTGTCTTCGGCTTTGATCCAAGGGCCCGCCTCATCACGCCCATGCTGCTGCTTCGGAGGATGAAGCTGGTTGGCCTTAAAAAAGGGCGCTGGCGATTGGTGCTGCCGGCAGAATCTGCCAGGCGCCCGACGATCTGGAGAAGCCCAATGCTTTTCTGCCGAAGCCTGAAGTCATGGCGTGACCACAAGCACGCGAACTGATTAGACGATCGCAGACTTGGGCGTCGGCTGTTGTGCATTGCTGTCCGATAAATCCAACTCCTGCAGCAATTAGCGCCGAACAAGGAAACGACACTTCTTGCAATACGACATCCGCCTCTGCTCTGATGAGCACCTCGTTCGCAAGTGCTCGAAGGTTTCGCGCCTGGGACAATGAAGCACCCGACCAACCACGAAAGGCACTTTTCGGATCTGACATCCACCATGCCTTCGATCTGGGGCTCGGCGTGCGTGTGCGGACGGAAGTTGCCTTTGGGCAAGCGGTGTCTTGTCATCATGGTGCCACACTATGAAGATGCAGTGCCAGTCAGCAACCAGGCCTTTGAGCTGGCAGGGGACACAACATGAGTGACCTGACAGCACTCTGACACCGCACCAATAACCATCTACAGCACTTCACAAAGGACTTACCAATCACTCACCGACGAGTGCCATCAGTCTCGCAGGCTCTTGGGTCAAGCCCGTGCCTCAGAACTCGACGAGGATTCCTCACAATTTTCAACGCCGTGAGACCATGAGAGACCTACTTCGCCAAACATAAAATGAGGCAACACGCACATCCTCAAAGCCCTTCAGAGCTAAAAGCAACATTGCACACGACTTGCTGGGAAAGTTGTCCCACGCCACGCGCCGCTGTCGCCTTTACACGCGTGCGGAAATAAGGCGCAAGTGTCATGGGGCTGCTTATCTGCATGGCGAACGTTTTGTCGGCTCACAACATAGAACAACCGCTGACTGTTGTTCAAGACAAGTTTGTGTGAGGGAGCTGGCAAGGACAACCAATGCTTCGAGAAACCATCTGAACTATCCGGTGCATTTGTCCCGCCTCCCTCAGAGCGTGATATGGAGAAACAACAGTGGGTCTCCTCCGTTTCTTCTTGCAATTCGTGAATGCAATGAACACTTACCAGGTATGAGCACTTACCAGGTACACACGCTCAGTCTTTGTCAGGGTGCCATGCAGCAGCTTTATACCACCCAGCTCAAAACAACGATTGAGATGATTGAGAACGAAGGTCCTCCGCCGTCGCCATGCTCTGTCTTGGCGTGCTCTTCAAGGGCTTTGGACAGTAGCATGAGTAACAATTTGGCGGGAAGCAGCGTTAAGTATCTTGGGCCAACAAGCTAATGGCTGCAGCATCACAGCTTGAGGCCACACAGTGCCAAAAACAGGCACCTTGGGCTTTGAAAAATGCGTCAGGAAGCTCTCCGATTGTGAAGCATCCTGCAGGTGCAGTGTGTGAATTCAGACACGGACTGACATCTTACGACATGCGGCGACTTAAACGCGTCAGACATGCAACTACTTGTCGCAGCCTTGCCTGAGACACGCGGAGTTCAAACACTGGTGTTTGAACACCGTTCGAACACCAGTGTTCAAACCTCGAGTTCGAACACTGGTGTTCGATTTCCGGATTCGAACACTGGTCTATAAAACGCTTTTACAAACACAAAAGAAGAGACACCGAAATCGCTTTATGGGGGCTGTTCGCGAAGAAAAGAAAAAGAGACAGTGATCGAACCTCGAGTTCAAACACTGTGTTCGAACCGGAGTTCAAACACTGGTGTTCGAACCCGAAAAGTTCGAACACCAGTGTTCGAACCTCGAGTTCAAACACTGGTGTTCGAACACTGTAAAACGCTTTTAAAAAACACAAAAAAGAAGAGAAGCCACGAAATCGCTTCATGGGGGCTTTTTGCGAAGAAAAGAAAAGCGAAGAAACATTCATCAGAGTTCAAACACTGGTGTTCGAACCCCGAGTTCAAACACTGGCGTTCGAACCCTAAAAGTTGGAACACCGGTGTTCGACGTCTACAAAAAGCTTTTACAAACACAAAAAAAAGAGAAGCCACACCGAAATCGCTTTATGGGGCTTTCGTAAAGAAAAAAAGAGAGAAGGAACATTCACCAGTGTTCAAACCTCGATTTCAAACACTGGTGTTTGAACCCGGGTTCAAACATTGGTGTTCGAACTCAACACTAGTGTTCGACCTCAGTGCAGTTGCGTGTGTGCAAAAGAACTGCATAGGTTTTTGGAAGGGAACACGTGTTCGAACCCCAAGTTCGGGAACATAGTGTTCCGAACTTCGAGTTTGTGTCTTGTGGCAGCATTTGAATGTAGTCCAAAAAAAGCTTAGGCTTAGCCTCCCTGCTTGAGTCGCCAAAGTGTGTTGTGCGTGCTCTTGGCGTCAACCATGTCCCAACTTGGCTCCGTTGCGCTCGCTCTACATCTCCAACTGTGTGAGAGCTATCCTCCTCTTGATTCTGGAGCCAGGCGTTCTCCTAAGTGATGCTGTCTACGGGCGAAAGCCCAGCTACACGCAGGCTGTGCATTGTGGTCCGCCAGCAAAATGTGCTTACCGGGCAGCAGGGCGGAGACCCAGCGACACCGATTGATAATGTGCGGTGGAGTGTGCTTGGCATGCTGATAGGTGGGCACCTTGTCCGCCCGCCCTTTGGGCGTGATATAGAAGGGCCTCATGGGGCTCTGAACGTGTCGAGCACCACGCCAGGTCCGCCATGGGGTCGCAGGCTGCGGTGGATCCAATGGGCTCCAGACGAATGTCCGAGCCCTGTTTACGGGCGCCAAAGATATCACCCGAGCGAGCAGGCGTTATCTTTGTGTTGGAGCCCTCCACAGTGTGGCTTCTTGGTCTTTGCGGCCCAGCCAGGTCGCGGAGCCCGTGATGTGAGGCTCCTGCCGCGCACATGGCGCTCCACTGGTGCTCTGACGCACTTCCTGGCCCCGTGCGAGGAGGGGGATCCGCGAGGAGACCATGGCCTCCGCAGGTATGAGGACCTTCTGCGACTTGACGTCCCTTTTGGACGAATGGGCGGCGGAGGTCGTCCCTTCTGCTGGCGCAGCTCCTTCTTGCAACTCTGCCGCGCAGCGCCGTAAATGCAGACTGGAGGAGGGCGGAATTACTCGCTGGAACCCCATTGATGGGCACACAGGCTGCCGTGTGGGCGCACCTTGGATTCTTGCTGCAAGCTTTCTATTGGAGCCCGGGCGCTTCAAGCGCCTACACAGCGGCTTGTCCGGTCTCCACCCGCCCAAGCTCCTGGCTTCTCCACTGGCCCCGTATGCGCAAACTCGACTCTATTCTCGCGGGGGTTGGCCCAGGCTTTGTGCACGGATGTGGTGCAGGGCAAAGTGTATCTACGCGAATTGGAAGGCCTTCGGGATTTGCCCGCTTGCGGAATGCCTTTGGGGCTGGCAAGGACATCCGCCTGGCTGGGCGCGGGGCTATTACGATTGATGGGCGCCCTGGCTTCTGCATAGTGGGACCCTGGAAGGGGCCTGTCGTCCATTGGATTTCCGATGCCTGGATGATTGGCAGAGGAAGAAGCAAGGCACCCACTCACGGGCACGGTCCGAAGCTGGATTTGAGCGTTGGATTGGCTGCAGGTGCAGCGCAGCTGCCTGGAAATTCTGCTGGGAGCCAAGCGGGACAGCGTCATATCTTCAGCTCATCGGGCTTCCGGTCACGCTGTGGCTGCTTCATGCTGGCGAAGACAGTCTCTTTCGACCAACGGCGCAACTCCGGAAACAGCTGAATGCCAATTTAAGGGGCGGGGGAGGTGGCCTGGTATGGCTCATAGGTGGACTTCGGCCGCTCTGTTCGGTACTGCGGGCCACGGTTACGGCCATTTTACTGGGGCGATTGGAAGGCCTTCCCCCAAAGGTGAATGCCTCCTGGTGCGCCGCAGCGCACAAGGCTCTCGCCGGCTTCTTGCCGGAGCTCTCTCTCGACACCGTCGCCTCTGCTGCCGGCGAGCGGGCTGTGCATGAGGTCTTGCAAAACGAACGCCTTTGCCCCCAGCCGGCTTGCGCAGAGGATCTGGGCTGCCGCCACCAGGTA